CATCAGAACAAGCCTCGGTTCTACAGAACAGAACGTTAGAACATCAGAACAGCCTCGGTTCTACAGAACAGAACGTTAGAACATCAGAACAGCCTCGGTTCTACAGAACAGAACGTTAGAACATCAGAACACGCCTCAATTCTACAGAACAGAACATTAGAACATCAGAACAAGCCTCGGTTCTACAGAACAGAACATTAGAACATCAGAACACTCCTCAATTCTACAGAACAGAACATTAGAACATCAGAACAAGCCTCGGTTCTACAGAACAGAGCGTTAGAACATCAGAACACTCCTCAGTTCTACAGAACAGAACATTAGAACATCAGAACAAGCCTCGGTTCTACAGAACAGAACGTTAGAACATCAGAACAGCCTCGGTTCTACAGAACAGAACGTTAGAACATCAGAACAGCCTCGGTTCTACANTAAATATATATTTATTATAAATGTAGTTTCCAGTGGACTGAGGTTGTTTTGATGTTTAAACTGCTGTTTTCTTGTCAGGTTAAATCAGGTTGAAACAATAAAAGATCAAATCTAAAAATGTGACTTCAGACGCTCCTCACGTCCAGAACAGACTCATGGTTCTGCTCACATCCATGAGTTTGTGGTAAAACTGTCGACTGAACACCTGTCTGCACGGCAGCTGAAAAACATGCAGAAATTTACACTTTTTTCCACCGAACATTCCTTTAGATACATCCTGACGTGTTAAAACTTGTGCACACAACTTTTTCATGCTTACACAACATTTATACACGAGACCCCCGGTCTTCATGTGGAACATGACAAACTGATAAAAAACAAAACCAACTTTAAACATTTAAATCTGCTGAATTCAACGTTTCAGTGATAAAAACAAAAACTGTTCAAGATGTAAAATATTTTATTTTCTGTAAATGATTTTAAATCAGAGTCACCATATTTCCCAAAAACAAAAAACATCACTTTGTTTACGTCCAATAATAAAAAAACAACAAAAAAACAAGGCTTCGTGTCGTCTTTCTGTACATCAGGAGAGCCTGAATAAAACCTCGTATTTACAGGGCAGCAGGAAACCACAGGCTGCAGGACACCGTCCAATCAGAGCGCAGCACGCCCAGGACAGGAGGAGCGGCTCGTCCAATCAGAGCGCAGCACGCCCAGGACAGGAGGAGCGGCTCGTCCAATCAGAGCGCAGCACTCAGGCTCTGAGTGATCGTTAAACTTTTCATCTATAGTACAGATATTTACACGCTGCCTCTCTGGACCTCGAACGCATCGCAGCTTTAGAAAATAGCTTCATTCAGTAATAAATACAAAAAGAAGAAAATCTCTTAATTTACAGGAAATTAATGAACACAAAGAGGAAGAGGAGGAGCCACCTGTGGAATCAAGTATGTTTGTGGTTTTTATAGTTTTGTGTTTTAGTGCAAGTTAAAGAACAAAACATTCCATTATTGTACTCACATTTACATCTGTGCTCCTTTTTACACGCAATTTACACACGGGACCAGCCTCGTCTTTAGCCCCGCCCACAACCTGTCAGACCAGGTTCTCTAGACCCACCCATTGACATAGCATTATCTTTAGCCCCGCCCACAACCTGTCCATCAGAGCAGATGCTGTAGTCCCACCCACAAACCCGTCATAGTATTTAGCTCCGCCTACAATCTGTCAATCATATGTATGGTCTTTAAAACCCCGCCCCCTTCTTTGTCATAACTTTAAACTCTGATAAAAGGCAACAGTTTTGTTTTTGTCATCATAAGGTAATATTAGCTCCGCCCACAGAGGAGAAACAGAACAGAGAGAGAGATCCATGCACGTGAGAGTGCACGTGAGAGTGCACGTGAGAGTGCACGTGGGATCAGTTCATCCACTTGCGGCAGTTCACGGCTCCACAGTGACACGGGATCTTGTGCTGATCGTCCTCCAGGTCAAACTTGTAGTCGTAGCAGAGCTGTGGGGGCGGAGCCAAGATGATGAGAAGCATCAGACACATTTTGATTGACAGGCTGACTGACTGACTGATTGACAGGCTGACTGACTGACTGACTGACTGATTGACAGGCTGACTGACTGATTGATTGACAGGCTGACTGACTGATTGATTGACAGGATGACTGACTGATTGATTGACAGGCTGACTGACTGATTGACAGGCTGACTGATTGATTGACAGGCTGACTGACAGTACCTCTTCTCCTCTCTGGATGCGTCTGCAGGAGCTGATGATGATCTTGTTCTCCTTCTCCACAGTCACCACCTCAGTGATGCAGTTTGGAGCACACGAGTGGTTGATGTACCTGTCAATCAMACACAGGCCCCACCCCCCTCACAGGTGAACACTGAGGATTGGTCTGATTTTATCGTTAACATTTTCCACACACTGCTCTCACCTGGCAGGTCCTCCGGTGATGGTGGCGTCTATCACGAACTCGTTATCGATCCGGAACATGTACACGCCTCGGTTCTACAGAACAGAACGTTAGAACATCAGAACACGCCTTGGTTCTACAGAACAGAACGTTAGAACATCAGAACACTCCTCGGTTCTACAGAACAGAACGTTAGAACATCAGAACACGCCTCGGTTCTACAGAACAGAACGTTAGAACATCAGAACACTCCTTGGTTCTACAGAACAGAACGTTAGAACATCAGAACACTCCTCGGTTCTACAGAACAGAACGTTAGAACATCCGAACACGCCTCAGTTCTACAGAACAGAACGTTAGAACATCAGAACACGCCTCGGTTCTACAGAACAGAACGTTAGAACATCAGAACACGCCTCGGTTCTACAGAACAGAACGTTAGAATGTCAGAACACTCCTCGGTTCTACAGAACAGAAC